GTTCATCCACTGTAAAGCTCTGTGATCTGTCTCAAGCACAAATTCATCGCCCAGCAGGTAATACTTTAATGTGTCAAGAGCCCATTTTATTGCCAAAGCTTCTTTCTCTATTGTAGAGTACCTCATTTCTCTGGGGAAGAGCTTTCGACTTATATATTGCACTGGTCTTTGGGCGTCTCCATCACCTTGCAGCAACACAGCTCCCAGTCCCACTCCTGAAGCATCAGTCTGCACAATAAATGGGCGTGAAAAATCTGGACACTGCAACACATGTTCATTACACAAACAGTTTTTCAGATCTGTAAATGCAGCCTCACACTCTGGAGTCCATTTAATCTTGTTGGGGCAAGATTTACGTGTTAAGTCACTAAGAATGGCTGACCTGGTGGAGAAGTTGGGGATGAACCGACGGTACCAGCCAGCTAAACCTAGAAAAGATCTTAGCTTTTTCTTAGTCGTAGGTGGAGGACAAGCAACAAGGTTATCAACCTTACTCACCTGAGGGCGGATAACCCCACCCCTGATGACGTAACCCAAATATTCAACCTCAGTCTTTGCAATGTGACACTTTCCAGGGTTGATAATTAATCCAGCTGTTTTAATTCTTTGCAGGACATCTGTCAGATGCTTCATGTGGTCTTTCCATGTCTCACTGAACACCACAATGTCATCAATGTAGGCTGCTGCATAGCCGTCAGCTCCTTTTAAAACCAAGTCCATCATCTGTTTGAATGTAGCTGGAGCTCTATGAAGTCCAAAGGGCATAGTTCTGAAACGATAAAGTCCACTCGGAACCCTAAAAGTGGTCAAATCCCTTGAGGACTCTGTTAATGGAACTTGCCAATAACCTTTACAGAGGTCAAGTGTGGTAAGATACTTAGCATTCCCCAAACGCTCAATCAGTTCATCAACTCTTGCCATTGGATAAGCATCAAAAACAGAGACAGCATTAAGTTTTGAAAAATCAACACAAAATCTTTGTCTTGAGTCATTTTTCTTGGGAACAAGCACCACAGGGCTGCACCACTCACCTCTGGAAGGCTCTATGATCCCCCTAGCCAGCATCTCCTCCACCTCCTGTTTGAGTGCAGGCATGAGCTTTGCTGGAACCCTGGAGGATGTATCCCTGATAGGTGGTTGATTAGGGCTGCAAAGTCGTATGTCATGTTTTATGAGATGAGTGTAGCCTGGTTTTGTGCTGAAAAGCTCTCTTGGCATTATAGCCAGCAGTTCATCTTGTCGCTCTGGAGATAGATGGCTTACATCTGGCAAAAGCTGTTCCCCACAATTGGATGGAAAGAATTGCTCTTGAAGCTCTTCTTCATCAATTACAGCACGGGCCCACAACTGCATTGATGGAACTGGACGGTCAATCCACTCTTTCAACATGTTAACATGAAAAACTTGCTGTTTTTTATGGCGATCTTGCATGTTGAGCTCATAAGTAACAGGACCCACTTTTCTGTTTATGACAAAAGGCCCCTGCCACTTAGCTAAAAGGCTGCTTTCAGAAGTTGGCAAAAGAAGCAACACTTTTTGTCCTTCCTTAAAGGTTCTTCTCCGGGCTGTTTTATCATAGTTCTGCTTTTGCCGCTGCTGGGCTTCTACTAGGTGACTATGAGCCAGTTCCTGAAGCTGTTCAAGCTTGTCCCTCATTTTCAACACATATGAGAGTGATGCAAACTTTTTTTCAGGTCTGGCCCCTTCCCAAGCCTCTTTGAGGACATCTAGTGGACCCCTGACAGTATGACCATACAAGAGTTGAAAAGGAGAAAACCCAGTAGATGCTTGAGCTACCTCTCTATAAACAAGAAGCAGAAATGGTAACCACTGATCCCAGTCTTTTCCTGAGTCTTTTACAAACTTCCTCAACATGGACTTCAGAGTTTTATTAAACCTTTCAACTAGTCCATCTGTTTGAGGATGGTATGGACTTGTTTTGATACCACTAATTCCCAAAAGCTTATACACTTCCTTCAGTAGCTTAGAAGTGAAGTTTGATCCCTGATCTTTAAGTATTTCTTTGGGAATACCCACCCTTGAAAACATCTGTATCAAACAATTAGCTATTTGGCGGGCTTTAATTCTTCTCAAAGGGAAAGCTTCAGGGTACCTGGTTGCATAGTCGCACACAACTAGCATGTATCTATGTCCCGAGCTACTTCTCTCCAATGGCCCAACAATATCCATTGCAATATGAGAGAAGGGAGTGTCTATTACAGGCATAGGAATAAGTGGAGCTCTGTCACCTTTCTTACTCGGGGCTGTCAACTGACACTCAGGACATGATTTGCAGTATCGAACCATATCTGAAAACTGTTGAGGTCAAAAAAACCGATCAGACATTCTGGAGAATGTTTTTACATATCCTAAATTACCCGCCCAAGGAACTGAGTGGGCCAACTGTAAAACTATTGGCCTTAAGCTAGTGGAAACTACTAGCTGGTCACCCACTTTGCTACGATAATACAGGCGTTCATTCTGTACAAGAAAAACCTCCCGAACTCCCTCTGTAATGAGTGTTGAGTCTTGGTAACATTTAGCAAACAGAGGTGCTAAAGAGGGGTCCTGCCTTTGCAGTTGGACAATATTGCTTGGAACAACCAATAGCTCATCGATCTCTGGTTCAGAAAGCAACTCAGGAAGTTTTGTCCCCCTTACTTTATCTTGTCTCCTCTGATTTCTGCTTTTTCTTGAATGGTGGCCTCTTAAATTTTCCTCACCAGGAACTTCAGTGTTAGCAAAAGGCAACATATCCAAACCTGGCTCTGACTGAGACAGCTTAGAGCTAGACCTAGTGACGGCAAGCAGAACTTCACCTGAAGATTCAAAATCTTTCTCACTCTTTGCTAACAGGTCCCCAAGGATTGGCATATCCCGACCCAGTACAACCTGGTATGGAAGTTTATCAATCACTCCTACTGTAAGCAAATGCTCCTGTTCATGAACGTGAAGTACAACATTGGCAATGGGATAATCAACATCATCACCATGAACACACCAAACTTTAACTCTACCACAAAACGTGGTGTCTCTGGGAAGACAATCTGGCCTAATAAGAGTATGGCTACTACCTGAATCCAAGAGCAACACAAGGGAGGGAAACCTCAATAAAAACAGTGACGGTGTGCTCCTGAGAACTTGAAGGTTCTACAAACTCAGGTACTTCCTCTGACAAATCAAAACACTCTGGTGAAAAACACATGTAAGTCTTACTGTCTTGCTGATTTGGGCATTTACCCTTAAAATGACCAGTTTGACCACAAGAGTGACAAACAAAAGGACCTCTCTGTTTAAATTCCCTAAAACAGTTATTGCTACTGACTGGGGAATTTTCTTTGGAATAGTTTGGTCTCTGTCCAGTTGCCCCCCCTGACTTTCCCACCATAACAGGGGTGGAACTAGGTTTCAAAGTCATGTACCCTTTTTGTGGGCGACGAGCTGCAAGGAAAGCCTCTGCAATCTCTGCAGCTTCTTTTGAAGTGGAGGGGTTGCGCTCTTTAACCCAGGTTTGAAGATCTGGGCTGAGAACTCTCAGAAAGTGCTCCAGCACGACGACATCTCCTATTTGCTCTCGTGTCTTTTCCTTTGGAACCATCCACTCTTCATACAGGTCTTTAAGGTGTGTTCGCAGCTCCTTGGGTGTCTCATCTTCCTTCACCGTCGTGGACCGAAACCTCGATCTGTAGGTCTCAGTACTTATTTCAAACTTTTCCAATACAGCAGTTTTTACCTTGTCATAGTCCATTGTGTCATCAGTGTCCATAGCTACATAAGCAGCTCTTGCTTTACCGCTGAAAAGTGGTGCCAGATGCAGGGCCCATTCAGTCCTTGGCCACTGACATCCAGTTGCAATTCTTTCAAACATTGTTAAATAATGTTCAATATCTTCATCCTCACCATAGGGTTGCATCTTTGGACCTTTCCAACTGGGTGGTCTCAGACTGGATACTTGTGGTCCCTCAGACGTGCTTGGAAGGCTTCCTCCCTGTTGTACTGACTTTGGCACTTTTGGTCTTACTGCAGGACCGGAAACCATTCCAGGATCAGCTGCTGCACCCTCCAGCTGCATCTGATGCTCTCGACGTTCCATGTGGACCCCCTGCTGAAGTAGACTGAACTGGTGTTGCATTTTCCTCCACTGTTCATCTTGGCGTTGTCTGTCCTGCTCCCATTTAGCTTCCTGGTCAGCATGCTGCTGCATCAAGCCTTTCAATAAAGCAGAGAGTTCAGAGAAACTTTGTGCTTCAGATTGCTGCTCACCAGAAGCTTTTAGCAGGTTTTCATCATCTTGGGCCTCTTCTGTGGAACCCTCCACTGGTCCCTGATGCCTCTTTGACTTGGCTGATTTCTGCATTGTTGTCACATATTAGCCTGGAACCACCACTGCCACCATTTGTGAA